GCAGGTGAACAATGTCGTGAGCACAGTACACTACTTTACCGTACAAAGCCACATGTCTCCACAAAGTTTCTTGGAAAATCTTTACTGTACAGCACCAACTACACATCTTCGGACGGATTAAACAACAAGTAACTGGAAACAATAAGTAGAGATGCTTCCAGTATTTTCTGGACGATGTCCGTCCAGGATAATAGTGCCAGTGTGCAGAAAGAACCGATGTAATTTAGTCCCTTTCACGTCTTGGAGTCATTATTAAGCCCAGGGCGCTGCGAAAACCCTCTGGGCAAATAGATGTGCACGGACTTCAATCCATCCTTGAAATTACTAATGACGGATTAGGGCATTTTGAAGGAACGCTCTGTTGGGCCTCGCGGCCACGAGCCCTATAACTGTCTATTAATCCCTATGTGTACCGGGTGTAGGGGACCCAGGTAAAAAAACTTAGTATCCCAACATTTTGGACCATTAGTAAGAAGTTCTTGTCTGATGACGGTCGTCCGGCGGCGGGTAAGAAATCGTCATTGAACAGTTCTCGCCCTACCACACTATTATAAACCACATTCGCAGTGTATTCCACGAAAATGGCGTTGTTCGCAGTGTTCTGAGCTGCATCTCTGACAAAGTTAATGTATCTCCTGGACTTAGTAGTTATCGGGATAAAAATTAGACAGTTAAGACTATCTCAGGACGAAGATACCGCAGTGAACAAAGCAAGAATGACGCTGTCTTCCGAGTCGATGCTGTCCGCAGACTTTTTGAAGTCCTCATGCGTCAATTGACCCGTCACGATATCTCCATCGCAAAAGAGATCAGAGATAGCGTTTACTAGTCCAGTCAGTCCCATACGGTTATGCATAGTGGATTGTGTGCCTGGAAGGCGAGCAAAAACTGGGAGTACTCGATCAACATTGTCTGGGAACCTTCTCTAAAGTGAGGCATGTCGACTCTTTCTGGAATGAGACGGCTCGCGCTGAATGCAACAATACGAGGGTAGCATGGGTCACCAAAGAAAGACGTCTGAAGCAGTTTGGGCACACCCTTCACCGTCCACTGCATAAGCCTTGTGCTGTTACCCTTCCCCCGCCGCAACTGTTTAACTGGAAGCTACGAAGAGCTCGGCCCAAAACCTGATTGGCGTATTTTATCTTGCCATGGAGGTGGATCTTGGACCTTCGGTATTTGCTCTTCTCCATCTGAGAAGAGGGTAAGTCGAACTCTCCGGATCCGCTACCGCAGATCCTTGCGCGTGGAGAGATGCTTTCCGCGACATCATCGAGGTAGACCATGCCGGACATAATCGTAGCCATAACAAGTACAGGTAGTCTTCTAACGTGCGCAGGTGCGCCTTTGAGTCCGCTCATGTATTATTAGCGCAAAGTTGGGAGTCGCATGATTCCTGTACAAGATGTAAGTGGTCGATTTAGGTATTATCGACGAGGCTCGCTATCCGGACCGTTATCTAAACACGCGGCCTGTTGCAGTTTGTAACCTCTGTGGTGTTCCTCATGTTTCCTTTGGGTTTTAGAAGAAATTCAGTGCCGAACAGCCGCACTTCTGCGTTCGGTTCTCAGACTGCTATAAGTAGGTTCGTTGCCTCATGTGCGATCTGCACTTATCGCAAGTGATTAGGTAGCTGGGTTACAGTTCTACAGTACACTAGTGAATTTATATCTTTAAACAACTTTGGCATGGATGAAAACTGAGCTCATGCAGTTCATGGTCCCATTTTCCTGCATGTTGCAATACCACTGATGATCCCACTCACGTTGCCCACATCTGAAGTGGGACATCGCTCCAATAAGGTCAGTGGGATTTTTCAAACGAAGGGATTCCCTCACTCCGACAAACCATGTCTCGGTCCACCGTTAGATTCACATTGTTTGGGCCGTTTTTGAAGCCCGATTTTTTAAACCTTATAACAGTGGTCCCATGTAAACTAAATCCCCTTAAAGGAGATCTACTTCGTTTGCCCATTGTGATATCAAAGGCATTTTACGGTAGCAGTTGTCTTCAAACATATTTAGAGTGCTCACTGGCCGGAACCCCGTGAGCGTGAAGGATTTCTCTGTCGTTACCGACATGCAGGATGCTGGCAACGGGCGCAGTCGTAAATGGCGCTAGCCAAATCAAACGAGGTCTCGGCATTGATCCGAGTTACATACACTTTTTTCAACACACTTTCTTTGCCACGTAACCTTTTTCTGCTATTATTAACTAAACAGCGATCTTAAAACCCCTTCTTTTTGGTACTTATTTAATCTTAATGTAAGTCTTTTTAGGTCCCTGTAGTACGCCATGGAGTCGATGGGCTCCACACATCTGCTGCCTCTGGAGCTAATTGACAAATGCATCGGTTCGCGGATCCACATTATCATGAAGAACGACAAGGAAATGGTTGGTACTCTTTTAGGCTTTGATGGGTATGTCAACATGGTCCTCGTTGATGTGACGGAATTCGAATTCACCGCCCAAGGGAAACGAATTACCAAGCTGTCACACATCCTTTTGAGCGGTAGTCACATTGCTATGATGGTCCCCGGTGGTGAAGGACCCGAAGTTTAATATTGTTATCATTAAAAGTTGTATATACATATGTGGACATTGTGTTTGTGTACTTTACCACGCTTCACTTAATCACTGGCATTTATGAGCATCTGTTATCGTCATTGTCATTTGCTACCTCTTGCGAAGAGACATAAGTTATGGGATTTCCTTTAACGTTCATTGTCAAAAATGTGGACTTAACCGTGCCGAGCCGTTTGGCCCTAGAATCCTCGAAGTCCGAATGGTTCTAGCACATCATTTATGAGTTTGCAGACCTCAACCTGCCTCAAGCGAAGCCTGTCCAGTTGTGATAGCACTGTCAACACTTCTGCATGTGGTCTTGGTAGAATTTTAGCTAGTACTCACTTTTCACATCAATGCAAACGGGTGCATCTTTCATGTTATATCCTATGACCACAGTTGCCATAGGGCGTTACAGATACTTGGGGTTTTGTGTAGAATAACAGACAGCCAACTTTAATTGGCCTCCGTACTGCAGGAATACGCCGCCCGTCTTTAGGCGCAGGAGTGACCATGCATCGAACCAGAAGACTTGTCTTACCTAAAGCCTTTTACCGCGTTAGCACCTTCGACGCGGTCTCAGTGTATGTCGGCCACTCAGCCTCATCCTCCGTTATTTTGTCACATCGGCCAGCGAGCACAAGAGCCATTTTTGAATCTTGACCCACATATCGAAAAATAGCGCCCGGGAATTTATTCCATAGGAGAGTGGTTGCTCGTCTAGCACCCCATTTGCTCTCTGATTCAGCAGTTACTGTGCGAATTCCCGCGGGTGGTTCCTACGCAGGCTTGCCAGCTGCGACTTCGGACGGGCGACTTTGCGCTAGACAGATGATCTGTCATCACGCTCCTATACTGAGAACGAGTTTGTACGTCCGACATGTGCAGCTTCCAGGCGATTCACCGCACAACCTAATCCAACAGTGCCTTTCAGCTGTTAATTTCGAGTAGTGGCTACATCGGCGTAAAGGCATACCACGAAGGTTTTGTACAGTAATCGCGACACCTGACTACGGACAGCTAAGCCAGTTCCGTTCAGGGCAGCACTCCAGTCATTTGTATCCAATTTCTGACATCCTATTTCGGGGGAGGCTTTGCAGAAGAATCGAAAATGGTTGAAATCATGCGTATTTTCGGCTCAGTAGAATATAGGTGGTGACATCCCATGCTTCCCTTCATAAGAATGGGATGCTGAATTCTTGTGCAACTCAAGTCACTGAAAAGCAATGCAAACATGTTAGGTCCGAGCACGATGCATTTCGGGTACTCGGGTTTCGACTCTACCATCGTCATCGATGAAGCTTAGCCTAATTTCAGTCTCGGGATAACCGTAGACGATTTTGGAGATACATTCGTAATTTCGGCGGTGTTCGCCCTTAGAATGTGGTTTCGACAAGTGGTCATAGTCTTACATAATTCTATGTGAACTAATCGAAGTCGTATCAGGTGTCCAGTCAGTTATCCTACGACCACCGGACTTCACTTTTGCAAAACCGTTATCAAGCAAACGTCCAACACACGGAACTTAGTAGATGAGTGTAACATTATGCTAACGTGCCATTCACGGGTCTCGATCTATGAGGTTTGGGGAGTAAGACATTTTGTAGCCCCACAAGCTAACATTCACGATTAACTGCTTCTCTACTAAACAACACAGAGCCTGATCTCTGGGATGCACAGTGAGCATGGGGTTTGGGGGGTTCTCCGAAAATTGAGTCGAAGACAAATACTGTCTGATAACCAAGTAGTGCCTACTATGTAGACGGGTGGGAATGCAAGTAGTAAAATTTTTATGTAACAACGGCTTTCCTCACTCCCGACCAGATACCAGCTAAAAGTCTAGGCACGTGTTCAGTTCGCATGAATTTCGGATGTGGCCCTAAAAAGTCATCTCCCGGACACTTAACTAAGTTCCACATTTAATAATTTCCGAAATTGTTAGCTTGATATTCCTCTGGAGTTTGTTGCCAGAAACTGTGCAGAGGAAACTGGGGGACCCACTAAGGAGCCGGACCCATCGCAGCTGTGTCGTGCAGCATTAAAGACATGGGCAGAACACAAGTCGTGAGTGCGGCAAGCCACTTGTCCTATGAGAATGATACTACTTGTGGTACCACTTGTTTGTAGAACGGGCATTACGTGACTGTTCTGTGGTAGTTGATTGTCTTCGACTAAAATGTCTTGAAATTTCGGGCCTGCCCTTAAAAAGTCATGCCCCAGAAACTTAACTCCCAGACCTACACTTAGTAATTTTCATGTACACTTCTTAGCAGCGCCCATTTAATCCAAATATGAAAGGCAACGAGAGTGAAGCCGAAGTTAGTCTTAGAATAGGTGCGATATTCAATTGAAAAAGGTCTCCGGAAAGGATTGAATCGGGGGCTGTCAGTATATCTGACCAAGTTTATACAGACAGGGAAGCGGCAGCAAAGGTGTTACAGTGCCTTGACCATGTAGGGTCCCTCAAGCTCATAGCCGAGTTTTCGGTAGTAATCACGAGTCCCAACACCCGAAATGACTGCCAGTTTCAGGGAGCCATGCTCTTCTCGGGCGATGCGCTCCGCCTCCTCCATAAGTAGTGTCCCGAAACCCTTTGAAAGAAGAAATGGTCGTGTTATGAGCCTATAAAACGCGCCAAACTGAGGACAATAATTTGGATATTGTCAATGCTAAGGGGTCAGTATGAAATCCTCTTCAAATTAGCTACGAAAACGTTGGTTAGAGATAGTTTACCTGATGTTGGAATTTTGTCGGGTCCTTGGATGCCACGGGGACGGCACTACCGTAAACGTGCAACTCTCGGACAACTGAACACAAGGGGTTGGAATTAGGTTCAGTGCAGACCCGTAACTCAGGTCTAAAAGTTTCTGGTGAGCACTTGCGCAGACGAAGAAGACCAACGAGAATATCCTGAGTGGGGTCTTCGTATGCGAGGAAGGTCTCCCAGCCTCCATTGGCGACATAGTCTCGTCGGATCAATTCAATCTAGGAAAAGCAAGCTCGTTTACTGATCCAGAGACAGGGAGGAGCACGAAGACAAGACAGTAGTTCGCAGTTCTCTCAGAAGCTTCGAACCGGACAGTAAAAGACATGAACAAGACAGGAGATGGAACACCTCGAAATTAATCGGCAGTCCTGAACACAAACAACCATGTTTTATCTAGTTTTTATTGTGGGTTTGCATCAAACACAACCAAAGCAGAGTTAACAAGTCTGCGCCGGAAGACCCTTAAAATTAGTTCCTCCACCCAACACTGGAGTAGAGTTCAGCTAACGTCAGTTGTTCTTTGATAATAGTGTGTGGAAACAGTGCAGTGTTAGAGGCCCGGGTGTAGGTTCCCGACGCCAAAATGTGAGTCAGTTTATAACATGCGTCTCAAGGACTCACAGCCAAAACCTATTCAGGCGTAGGGGTGTCAAATGCAGTTGGCAATAATGTGCAGACAGAAGTAAACGACACCGGGAGTACCTGATAGGGCTTGATCTTCCGGTGGATTTCCTGGATACCAACTTCTCGAGTGCGTACATCGCGACAACTTGCCCCTAACTCTTCCATCCTGGCGAGTGCTCGTTCGCGCAGGTTTCCATGTTCGACTCCACTAGTCACTAACGGCATCGGAATGTCCCTGTAAAGGGGAGAGCAGAGAGTATAAACAAGGAATGCAGGCGAGTTTTATCCCCCTTCCTTCAAAGAGTAGACAAATATAATTCATAGATATTTTGGCAGATTTTGAATAATTCATATTGACCCAACTGTGCTTTTAAGCAATTCAGGTGACTCCAATACAAGGAGGGACGATGGATGGGGGAAGTGCTCAAGCAACATGCGGATGTTGTCTAGGTAACACAAATCCTTACCTTTGAATCCGATAGATGCGGGTCCAGGGTGGAACAAGGGCGAGGATACGCGCAATTAAGTCGATTAGAACGTTTGGTGGGTAACTACTGTAACGACCCGTACGCCACAATTCATAGAGGCCAGTGCCGCGGATGACGAGCGTCGGGTAGATTTTTAGACCATCAGACCTGAAGGCGGGATTTTCGAAGTACTCAGCAAATTGGGCCAGATCACGCTCCCAGCCAACATTAGGCAGGTCGGGCATCATGTGCGAGATCACTTTGAAACCGGCGTCTTTCGAAAGGTGGAAGCACTCCGTGACGGCGTTAACCGTGTGACCCCTGAAAATTCAATCAGAAAATAAAACATAACCGCGGTGACTCAGATCCTACCGGTCGTGATAGACTGAAAAGTCAGGTGCAATAGTCTTAATTTACTACAAACCGAATGGGGCTACACCTTAGGGTAGTCACAGTCGCCGTTTTCAACAGGACAAAGATCTCATAAACTCGTTTCAACCAACTTCCAAGCAGGTCGTAAAACAATAAAATAACCAGAAGTAGCGAAGTTCTGCTGCTTTCCTGATCCTTTATGAAGTTCCACGACCTGTGTCAAAGCTACCAGGCAGATGGCCCAGATTTTGGCCAACCGGCACGTCCAGGGATGACAGACAGGACAAAAGCCTTCAGCGAGGGCAAACTGCGGAATAATCAGGCGTCTTGGTTTGCCAAATGGGCAGTCGCAGACCGTGAGCAGAGAGGAGGCATGACAGACCGACCACCCCATAAAATGTCGCAGCCTGATGAGGACACTGTGAAATGATCACCATAAACCGCACTAAGAAGCTAGTCTTGTTAGCACCGGTTTGCGTGCTGAATATCCATCTAAGGGTTGGATTTAGGACCCAGTAATCTCTATACCCATATAGGTATTCCAACCACGACTATCAGTTTGTGCCAGGACGTCAGTGGAAACTGACTTGACTCCTTCAACCCAACTGTTTAATGGAAAGAGGTAAATGCACGCTGACTGCGGAAAAGTGATAAGTTGCTTTGCATTGACAGAACAGATGCCAGACATGCAGAGACTGACACAATCCAAGCTGGAAGTTGCAAGGCAGTATTTAGGTGCCAGATGCCGACAGATGTTCTCATCCCCTCCAAAGCGTTTGGACTGACAAACCGTGTCGACGTGGCGCTGGGATGACTCCGAGTGACTAGCTCAAAGACTTAATCATGAGCCAGAAATCGATGCAATGAAGAATGGTACTTGTGTGTCTTCTTGGCGCCATCGCCAGCGACGAACTGCGAGAACATGCGATTGATAGCTTTCTGTAGCGAGTTATGTGGAGTGGAGGATTGGCATCCCAAAATGAGGGAGAGCGAAGCCCATAGAAGCCAGTCCTTAGACAGTGTTCAGAGGAACATTTCTGCACGGAATCGCCAAAAGCCCGCCGATTTCTTTGTGAATGAAACTATATCACAACAAACGCCCGTTTCTGATGAAGACTAACCATTCAGTCAACATTCTTTCGGACTTGTCACCCTTTCCGAACAGCGGTGAACACAGTAAGACCTCCGGTCTTGGGGAGGAGTTTGGGTTGACAGGACTTAAGAAGCCATAATTTTGGCCGAGACTTTGGGGCCCAGTTTTCTCAGTACCAGATGTGTTTTGCCACCACAGTGAGTAGTCAATCACGAACATAAAGATTCAGCAGTATAACAAGATGAAAGGTAAGTCGCAGGCGAGAACCAAAACAAAAACCTTATTTTATTTTGCCCTAAAAACTGGAAGTTCTGCAATCAGGTGTGTGACAAACGAGCGGCGCCGTGCTGGCTGGATCGGCTTAAAGATCGTAGGTTGTTAGCTCAGACAATCCGAGATACGTCCTGCAACCATGATTCCAGCTGTCAGCCTTAAAGAGTTATGCCATAGCCGGATATAAATGACTGCGAAAACTGTCGGGATCGAGTGGTAGCCTCCACGAGGCGGGCCTTAAACATAGACGTTCGAAAACTATTCACTTACTCACCGAGTTAGTGAGTCAGTCTTCTCACGGCGTAAGTGGTTGCTTTATTGCTGACAACTCGGATAAGGTTGAGAGCTCGCGTGGATACCTTTCAAACTTCTCCGGTCAACTTCTCTCTCAGCTGCGGCGTGTTATCCTTCTCCTGCCTCTCCAGGAAGAAATAGTCGACGCGACTCAAAGACTGCACAATAACATAGAGCCCGGATCAAGTTGAAGCCTACAGGTCTTGTCTTGACATCCTAGCTACATGAGCTGATTACGCAGACGTGCAGAGATGAGATCATTCCAGATGACCGGGCTCTGACACAATTGTGTGTGTCTTTAAAATGGGGGGTATGGTGAAGTGTAAGAACTACACGGCATAAGTCTTATTGACGTTGCTACGAAGAATTATGCCAGTCATTCTCAGGTGGACCATGCCGGACATGATCGCAGTCGCAGCAATTTCAAATAGGTAAAAGAAAGGGGTACTGCATTCGCCTGATTTAACAAGGAAAATGAGCCCGATCGAGAGGTTTGTTGTGGGAAACTTTGCCCCTTGTCTACAAAACTGTTGGGTACGCATAGAAGTTTGCCGTGAATATGGGGAGGCCAGAGAGAAATCATAAAAGTGTAATTTCTTCAAACAGTATTTAAAGTGTTTAGGAGAGCCGCAAGAAGTTTCCGAAAAGGCTAGGCAGAAACAGAGAATCCATCATGACTGTACCTGTTTGTATCTCTCGCAACGTCCTCGTAGACACTTTGAACCCCAATCTCTAAACGAGTGCATCCATAAGCCAACATTTCTCTACGCAGAAAAGTCGCGTTATTCTAACTAAAAGGACGACACTCACCCCAAATGCTTCTTCAGGCAGTAATCAGGTCTAGTTTCGATGGTTATGCCTATGCACTTGGTTTTGCTTCGTTCTGAATAGCTAAAAGATGATTGTGAAGTTGGCAAGATGTCCTTACTATACAGCCTCGGCGACATTGTTGCTTATGTGCCCAGAGAGAGCATCATGAAGATTTCTGAAAACATAAAAAAATAACCTGATTGACAGTCCAGCACTACCTGATGAAGTAATCACGATACTCCTCCGGAAGCGACATAAAGGTGCCACCCATGACGATGAATTCAACCTTGTCGCAGGAATGACCGAGTTGTTGGAGCTGAGATGCCAGCCAATAAAAGCAGTATGGGTAGTACTTACCTGCTCAATTCTGTGGCGCGTTTGGAGATACGGATTGTAGCGAGCGCGTATGGCACGCATTGATGTAGGCTAGATATGTCTATCTGTGTTTGTCAAAAGTCACCTACCTCATATCCAGTGTAGGATTGAGTTGAGTACTCGAAATCCGAATCGGGTCCGCCAGGACAGTAGCTAAACGTGCGGATTAGTGTACGAATGTAAAACCAACATACACACAGACATTTCCCGTCATTGCTATATGGGGACATCTATGTGGTTTGCACATGACCGCAACGACGACAATCTACACCAGAGGACTGAAAGGAGGAATAGGAGAGGAACTTACGCCACTGGCTGAGCGCACAGGCTTGGCCTTAAGCTTGGGGACGAGGGTCTAGCAAGGAGTCAAGATTAGAGATGCTGTCCTTACATCTCGATGTTGAGGTGGTACAGCGGCAATTATATCTACCAATCGGGGTTGTGACGTCAGACCATACTTCCTGGACACAGCGGATTTTAACCTGCAGAATTAATTTTAAGAGGTTAGGACTTCCTACTTGTTTAAGTTAACGTCTCTTTTTTCTTTCACAGCCTTTAGTAGTTCCGAGACTATCTCTGAAATGGTCAAAACCATCAGCTCCTCTTTTTTCATGTGGGCAACTGAGGTCATGAGTGAATGCAGAAAGGAAAGTACACTTCGTCTGTTTGGGCGGCATTACGGGTATTAGGGCGTCCGAATCCTGGGGCCTAAAAGGGTAATAACGCATTATCTATGAAGTATAGATGGAATTTCTTCGAAAATAGCCTTTCCTTGTCCTGAGCTAAAGATTGCCCAAAAGGTAAAAATAACGGGATAGCAAAAAGGCGGGTCGTTCGGACAGACTATGCGAAACGAGAACTGAGGGTATCGAACAGTAAATAGTTGCAGTGGCCCAGCGTTTTACTTCCTCTAAAGCCGTATTCAACACAAGGATACCCACGTTGATCGACAATACTGTCGATTGTGTCCTCAGTAAAAGTATAGTCCAGATGGCATTTTGACAGTTCATGGGGCAGGTCAACCTTCAGCACGAAGGGACGATCTAGCATAGAATATTCATGTTTTTGGAAGTTCACCTTAATGACTTTGGAGTGAACGGTGAATTTTGTTTCTTTAAGAAGGCGGGGAAAACTTCTTTTGTAATTTAGCAACACGAAGGGCGTACCTACTTGAGCAAAAAGTACAGGTAGTGTGCGGGTGTGTGTACCGCCGTCTGAAAGTGACTTATGGCGTGAAGGCCAGCGCGAAACCAATGTGCTAATCTGAATGCCATATGTAGTCAGAGCATTTGTTAAAGAGCTAGCAGTATGCAGGTGCAATTATTTCCTCCGGCAAACAGGTGTACGACGTGATATGAGGTGGGCCCTTGATTATATGTAACTCTACATACTAAACAGCCGTTTACGCTGCGTGGGACAGCAGGAACCGAGTGGACTTGTATGAGCCGGAGGCCGCCTTCACAAGGCGGTTGAAGAAATCCCTCGATGCTCTGCGAAGACGATGTTCACAGCCGGACTATATAGTACGTACAGGCATAGATCGGACGGGAAGCGGGAAAGTGCGCTCGTAGGTGCTAAAAGGCATACATCGTGCAGGAGTTTCCGTCCATTAGCTGCATAGCGTCGCATCGCAGCTTTTCGCTGGTGTTTCCATCGCGACCAAATTGACAAATTCCGCTTTTCCACACCGAGTCGCTGTCGGCTCGCTATGGAACTGCTACTAAGGAAGATGCACGTGTATTTACTGACAGTTGTTTTTCGACTAGCGACTTCAAAATATCGACAGCCAACAGCGGAAAAAGATAGTTCCCGGAGTTAACGCAAAAAATGCAACTTCAAAAGTATGCTTAAAGCTTCCAAAGCAAACCCAGTGACCAGAGTTAGGCAAGGAGGCGAGAGGATGAGAAATTTTCAGCCGCGCGGTAAAAGTCCGGATAGTTAAAAGTGCTTGAAGGACATCGTGTTATCCGGGGTTATGCATAATCAAATTAATACCACAGCGTTTTTCTCAGTAATCCACAGGAGTTTTTAACCCTTCATCACACGTTGTACTGCTCAAAGACATTTGAGAGAGATGGGTCGGGGGCAGCTGCAAGCGAACTTGAGAAACTGCGCAATCGCAACTGCTATAAGGTACAAGGATTCGATTTTGGCAGCCAAATATGATTGTGCATGCACGTGTCTCATCTATGAAAACAACAAGAGACAACAAGAGGGAAGTTTGAGCATGGGATTGAGGAGAAGTGCTCATCATGAAGGAAATCATCGATTGACATGAACCCACTTATAAACTGCTGTCGGCTGAAGTAGCAGACAGGAAATGACTGTCTTGGAGAGAAAAGTCCCTGCACAATGCGTTTTCTTTGACAGTACAGAAATTGACCAGGTTCGATGAGACTGTTTCCAATGAAAATGGACAAGAACAAGGTCAAGGCGCTCAGCTTAATTTCGGGTATAAGTAATTCTTTGTTTTCACCTCCATATTCCTGGACTATGGATGCATATTTTCAATCAATTTATTTCATTGAAAATACTTCTTATTGCCTTTTGCAAGGTATGCTTGTTTTATGAAACAGTGTGATAGATTCGTTCGGTTTGTTGAACAGGCTTTGCACATTTGCGAATATAACCTTCAATTATCGTTTTGTCATGGAGGCCAGCCTTTATTCAGACGGGTTTTAACCATTGGGGTGACCCTTTGACCTGGATTATTTGGTCATCTGTGATTTTCAGCCCTTTCTTCCATCTGCTCATCCTCTACCCACTTCTATCCTTAGTTTCCCCATTTTCAACCATTCCCTCGACTCATACTCTTGCTGAAAAAACACTTCTGTGTGTGGTCTCAGTATGGTTGTTCTCCCTTCTAACATAAACGTTGCCTGAGCTTCGTTCACTAAAATAATTTTTGTTGGTCTAGGGATTTTCTTGGGTCACGGCCTGAGTCTGATTTGCCTAATCGGAAAGGTTTTTACACGGTGACAAGTCTACCATCCTTCAGGACAAAACTGACATATTCGTGAGGTAGATCTAGTTCGTGAGTCATTCTTTCCTTCGAAATGCGTAAGGTGGACTCTGGGACACCCTTTATACCAATATTTTGCTTACAATTTATGGACGAGTTCTTTATTTCCCGATCTGCCCTAAAATGATATCCGACCACTGTGGGCGCCTTTCATGGAGTAAGGCAATTGGCATACGGGACCTCGGTCTATTGGCAAGTTCAACGACATCTCCGCTGCATATTCCGTGCTGAGGCATAGGTTGGCCAAAGTAACTGACCACTCGGGGAGCTCGAAAGCCGGTGAGCCAGGTGGCCGAGCAATTATCACGCCAGCATCCAACACGGGTGATGAGATTGCAGCAGTTAACAACTTGCATGCCGGCCATCAAGCAATTAGCGCACCAGTGGGCAACAATTCTTGATGAAGAGAAGCGCGGTTAATTACTATAGGTATGCGGTAGCTTAACGACTGTATTCTATAAACTACTGCAACTTCCTGTGCACGAGTCACCCGTTTATGCCACTGTCTCTGATGATGTGTTCGAGTGAGAATCCGAAATGTCAGGCGAATAAAGCCCTTGTTCCAGCGCTCCCTTCTTCTTCTTCTTCTTCTTCTTCTTCTTCTTCTTCTTCTTCTTCTTATCAATTAGTTCCTGGAACTCGCATCTTCGTTTGTATCGGATTATGGCATGTTGACATTAGACTTAGTTTCGTCGGACGTTGGGGTCGTGAGGCCTAAATTTGTGAATGACGTGCTGGCTTCAGCCTGGGAACTTTCAGACACATTGCCCTGACAGCAGGACTAACGACGGGCCCTTCTTGTAGTCGTTTGAAATTCTCCCTGGTTATTCGGTCTTCGGTTTAGTTACCGTAGCGGGTAATGAAGTTGGACTTAATTTTGTTACATTAGCACACACTGTTTCGTTATTCTGCGGAGCTGATTTATCGGGAGTTTCCTCAGGGTGACACAACTCGCTTTCTCTTCCTGAGTGGCTTTGGGTTTTCCACGAGTGTGCTCCCCTTAAAAGAATATCCATCACTTGCCGTCTGCAGAGTCAAATGATAGACTGAGATAGGCGGACTCTGATGCGCATAGGCAAAAACTCTTAGTCTAGCCTGAATGTGTATTTTTCAGTTTAGCGTGCATATTTAACAACAGTGTAGGCGGACTACTCTCTACACAACCAGTGCTCGATCGCATTATGGGCGTTATCAGTTTAGAATTGTAATTAAATGAATAGGATATTCTCTTGAACTTCGAAAGGCCCACATGGCATAGTTTATTATTTAAGGCATCATCGCATTTCCATTTGCATACTTCAGGAAAAAAGGGCTTTCTTACATTGTTGAAGGTAATTGGTGTCCGCAACAATTTCGACAACCCGTGTCCCCGGGCGGACACGACGCATGGATCTCTCGAATGCGCCCCACAACGAAGCCAAAAGTCGGAGGGTCAAGTGTCACACAAACGTCTTGATTAAATTCATGGAAAGGGAATGATTAGAGCCGAGTGCTTGCATTAACCTCGGGGTTTGCACTACGGAAATCCCTTAAGAAAACTGCAAGCAGACAGTCAACTAGTGACGAGGGTCCACATCACGTTAGTTGCTATGATCAGGAACATGGTCAGTCGCCATATCGTCCTCCTGTTGCCTGAATCATTACAGTCAACACTGACCAACAAAATACTTTGCAGTTTTTTTCCGAAAAGGAGGTGCCCGCAAGCAACCGAGTAAATTATTAATGAAATCAGCCCATTCATTTTTTCTGTTGGTCTCCTCAACGGCGTCGTCAGTCAGGGATAAGTTCCGACAAAATAACATGAAGTGTGAGTTCTCCTTTTGGTTAACATATTATGCGACCGATGCATCTGCAGGTATACAAGACTCAGTAGTCAATTGTTGCCGGAGACCAAAACGAAAAGATAAATTCGGAGAACGGATCGCAAATACTACTGATCAAACACTCCTGGAGACCGGATATCTGAGAATCTCAATATTAAAATAAAAGGTTGTCCTGCCGCTAGGAATTCCTGGCCTTCCTTCATTCATCAGGCGTCAAAAGTGCGTGTTTTCTTCTATTTAAATACGCACTCAGTGTCAGGTGTGCGCTTAGACACCAGAGACAGATTGTCTCACCACTTCACCGTTAGCCGACGCTCTTGTGCACGGGTGGAAACGGATTTCACAGTTTGACTGAAACACAGCTTGCGCATGGGATTTCATAGACAACTTTTCAACCCAGGTAGTCAACCCTGTCCCTATGATTTATAAGCTGGATGCAAGAGTGGTTGCAATTTTGTACATTGTTTTTATTTGATGTCGTATCAGCTGTTGTTTGGCTAGCCCCATGCATTTTTCACGCACGGGAGACTCTTGACTGGAATGGTTTTGTCGTCTGGGCGGCTCTGGTGGTGGAATTCTCCTTCCGTCTAACTCTTAACATGACATGTCTTGACGCAGAAAACCAAGCAGTCAGATATCTTGAGGAAACAGTCTGAAAATATACATCATGTTTTCTCCTGAAATGGCTCGAAAGAGGTGCTACTATTCGTGGCCGAGGTCATGGCATCAACTGACGTCTCCTCTTCCTCACACCTATCCCACAGGACCTGTTAATCAAAACGACCAGTGGACTGCTCGAAACGACGAGGAAGAGCGATAAGCTGAGATATTTCATGCAACTGGTAAAATTCTGTCTCAAGAGATACTTAATATTTAATAAGACCATGTAGGAGCAGACCAAAGTGACACAAATGGGATCATCGCTCACAGTCTTAATTACAGAGGCAATCCTACAAACAGCTGAGACAATAATTTTCGCAGCCTAATGGCCAAAAATTTGGATTTCATATGTGCTTACAGCTGTATTTGTATTTGAAGGGTTACACGCAGAGTCGTGGATGCCCTACTAGTGTAAAGTAAATTTTGTATATTTGCAGACAGGATCAAGTTACAAACGTTTAGAATGTGTCAGAAGACGGCATAATTAGAGACGACTGTCACCGTCCACCACAAATTAGCGTAGTATAGCATGTTAGTATAGTATATTGAGGGTAATACGCAGTGCCCTTAGTGATCCTAATCAAAACGATGCGTACAATATAAATGTTGAATGTACATTTCACTAAAATGTTGCCAGTAACGTATTTGTTTTCGGAAAGAGTTTTTACAGCGTGGAACCGCGAATGGTGCGTTAGACGGTCCTTCCCATGTTCACATGAAATTTTAAGTGCAGTTCTATACAATCAATACAAAATGCAGTCAATTGCATAGTTTACTGGAGAAAATTTCATTAAACGCGCAGGGATGCATTACACGGGGTGTGAAATCAGGAAATAAAGTTTATGGCTGGCTGCAGATAGTCCTGCAGCGAGAGCAATCGCTTATCAAAGATCAAACGATCCGGCTGCCCTTTGAATATAACCATTGCATCAGATGTCACTTTTTCACTTGGGAGTGGGCTCTACGGTCGAACAACACGCTGACTGAATGAAAGCTTCCGATGGTCTAGGCGTGTATGCTCCGGCATGACCTTGTACCAATGACCGCGAAAGTGCCTCATGGTCGTGAAGTCAAAGGAATCGTAAGATTTTAACGAAAATTCAAACCCGTGGATAATGCGGAATGTCCATAACAGGTCACACTTCATTTGTCTATAGGATAGGAGAACAATATTAGCTGGATTAGTCTTTTTGGATATGACAGAATCCTGAGATCGTCCACCGATTTTGTCGCCCGTCGTTGCTTCTGCTCTATGGCATCACTCTCTTTCTTCATTCAGGACGTCCATGCTGGCATTTTGTATTCCAAATGCGGTCTGACGGACGTACCAAATATCTGCGAGAAGAGTTCAGGAGGGAAGACTACGAGGGCACGCCTAATCCAATGCATGATGCTGGTTGCCTTTTGGACGATTCTTTTGCAGTGCTCAGAGGGCAGCAGATTTGAACTTGCCCAGAAACGTAAGTCCTTCTGTATGTTCACTTCTTTTAGTGGAACTCAATTTATAGTGTACTGGTGTTTTGCAAAGTGCCTCTGGCCAGATTCTAGACGCACAACTACGCATGTGGATACACGGAACGCTAGAAGCCACCTTCTGGACCATGCAGCCAACTTATCAACATCTTCCTGTAGTTTCTGCGGATCGTCAACACAGCTGGTTGTTTTTCAGACCTTTATATCATATGCAAACATGATGGCATCGTATTCGAGATCAGAAGTACACTGGTTTATATAGTACAGAGTGAGAGTAGATCTCAAAGTGTCTTACAAGGCTAGCTGTAAGTAAGAATGCTGCGAAACACAATTTTTGTCCAAAATTCTGCAACTAACCGATCCTTCAAAATCAAAAATGGTGTGAGCCGTTAGCATCTCGATTGATAGCGGGTTCCATGATCGGATTACTCGTTGAATGACAAAGACATTTTTGAGGTCCTATCGTATGCGTTCGCTCCTGACCTTGTCCGGTTGACCGCGTATACAAGCTGTGCATGTAAACTTAAAAAGTACTCCGATATCAGCGGGCAGCCATGACCACGGATAATCCGCGATGTGTGGAGTAGGCCACACCTTAATTGCCTGCAAGATAGGGGGAATAAGCCAAGCTCTTCCAAAGTATCCTTGCAACATTGATTCTAGGGATCATCGACCATCTTCGTTGCCCTCGTTACCCCATCTTCGTTGCCCTAATTCGATGAGGTCAATATCTTTCATCCTCCACGGCGTTGAGTCTGGCATTCTGCTATCCAACTGGACATCGAAGATTCTTTTAGAGAGTTCAGGGGGGAGGATTTAAAACGCACGTCTGATCCAGTCCAACGTACCAGCTGCCTTCTGGACCACCTTCTTACAGCGTTCTGATTGCATCAGATCCGCAGTTGTCTACATGTTCAGATCTGTGTGCGCTTCTACATTTTTTAATGTAATGCCCGACAACGGTAGAGCGAAGGACCCCAACGAGCTATTGGTATTTTCTGGATCGTGTCATACGGGAATAGTAGTAATGAGGGGGGGGGTCTAACAGGTAGGGCAGCACGCCACGCAGTAGGCTGACGGAATGCTTGAAAATAAAGAAAACGGTCGGTGTAAAAAAACGGTATTTTCGAGTAAAACGACGAGTGTATGCAGGTGTGATATCCAGCTGGATATTCCATGGCGTTCCCTATTGAGTAAGTGCCCGACCATCGAAAAATGAGCCTATCCTCTGACAGACATTTCTGTTATTCCTCGGTTGGTCTCCGTTCTTGTTTTTTCGCTCTTGGGTAGAACTACCAGTCATCTGTACTTAAATAGGCTTCGCAAGCACATGCATCAGCACACGATCCATAGCCTAATTGGGGTCCTTCAGCCCACCGTTTCTGAATGTTCTTAATAAAATACTGATGTTTTGTGAATTCATTTTGGCCAGAGTTAAGGCGTAGGACCTTGCATTTTGATACATTAAACTTTGGAATCAAGCTGTTCGAGCACACACTCTGTATAGTGTTCGATGGCAGCCTTTTGCATAGTCAACAAAACTGACATGACACCTTCAAAGTTAAACCTCTCGAATCGGATATTTACACAAATCAGGAAAAGTGGTGATTCTAGAGCAGGAACCTGTGCAGATCACTTTTGATCACTACCAATTCCGAGGCAGAGTTGCCAACAACAAATCTTTTTACTCAAGGCATGAGGAAACTTTCGATCCATTTGAGCACTCTGCCTGTAGATCCTATTTACCAAATCTTTGTAAGAGATGTCGATGCAGTACACTAACGAGGGCTTTCCTGGTGTGGAAAATACAGCATCTATTAAATTTTCCCTGTTTGCGGCCTTTTTTTATTTCTCTTGCGAGTAAACAATGCTCGTCAGGCAATAACATACTCAATGAAAGCCGGGCACACTATGTTGTTTTCTTTCAGATAATGCGCTACATGTCTTCTGATAATACATTCTACTATTTTGCAAGGGACTCATATTAAACTGATTGAGCGAAAACCTTTCCGGTCTAGTCTTGATCCTCCCGGAGGCAACCATCAGGCTTCAGGTAATGAAACCGAAAGACCAACTGCCACGGCAAGAAATGTTTAGTCGTTTATCGGATCTGGTGCAGTTGCGGACAAAACAGCTGTGTCGGATAAACCGGAAGACAGCTCCGAGCGCGAATGGCCGAGCACGCTGCAGCGATACGGAGAAATGACGCTAGCTCTCAAGTTGTGGCTCATTCAACAAGATCCGGCCCCACATTCACTTTCGACGTGGCCGAAATTCTCTCAAGAAGGGACAACCGCGTGAGCTGCGAGCTGCTTGAGTCGTAGTTTACTGGTCCCCAGTCCATTGACAAGTACAATGAACTTTCCCTTCCATACTCGGTGCTGAGACTTCGTCTGGGCGGAGTACTTAGCCATGCGGGGAGTGCATAGATG